TCCATACACACTTGAATGGTTATTGATCGGAGCCTATTCCTCATAGGCTGTTGGCTGGAGGCCAAGTTTCTTGTCATTGTAGGCCATCCCTGGGTCACTTTGCAACATGGCAGTTGCCTTCCATAAGTGTGAGCAAGGGAGCAAAAAAGAAAATGATTAAGTCAGAAGTCAGAGTCTTCTAGTTATCTTCTCTAGGAAGTAAAACCTGAATCATCCTGAAGAGCAGAGGATTATACAAGGACAAGAGTACCAGGAAGTAGGAGTCATTGAGACCCATCTGAAAAGCTGTGTACACCCCAAGTGTGCATCCCAAAGGCAGCCTCAAAAAGTTAAGCCAGCATGCCTGGTGTTGTAATTCCCTTCTTTATCACTGGTGGTACTATAGTGCTCCAGTAGTACTCTCTAGGGAGGGAAAAGGGACTGCATGTAGGAGGAATCACTTGGTGGTTTCTGGGTGGTTATCTGTAGTTATGTGGTCTCCACCATCCAGTAGTTACAGTGAAGGTGCTACCTCTTGTTAAATAATTAAATAGCAGCCATTAGCCTGAAGTGTCTAATGCCCTGGGTTCCTTTATAAGCAAACTGAAACAAATGCATTTCTTATAAATGACTAGCTTAATGGGGATTGAAACTTAAGTTTAGCTAGATAAAAACTGCCAACCAACTTCTAATTACATAAATAGGAACTTTCTACTTCAATAGCCCAAACAAGGCATCTATATAACTGTAATCAATCACTTTCTTCACTCTGCTTCCTTGTTCATCTTACAAAAGCTCCTCCAGCAGAGCCCCAAATCACACACCACAGTTGCATACTGCCTGATTGATGAATCAATATTTGCTTAAATAACATTTTTTAATTTTTGATGTACTTCAGTTTAATTTTTTTTAAAGAATTATTTTATTTAAATTTATCTTAATTTAACCAGGGAGGGATAGAATGAGAGAGAGAGAAGGAAAGTGAGAAAGCAAGCCACCAGGTCTGGGACTCAAACTGCAATCATGTGGGAGTCTAGTGCCCTTAACCACCATTCAATCTGCCAGGCCCTCAGTTTAATATTTAACACTCGTGATAACTAGCTAGGAGGACTTGTACAGTCTTCCAGATCATGTCTGACCACTGTTTTTTAAATCACAGTACTGCATCTAAGGGAAGGCTAGGTGAATCTTACAGAAAGTTTCATAAGTAGAACTGGTTTGAGAAAGTAAAATATTGTCTGTTTAAGCATGTAGTACATGTGTCTAGCATTGCACTGCTTGTCTATACAAAAGGGATTCCACCGTCTCACCCTGAGTATAGGGAGGGTCCATGGCGGTGCAAGCAGAAGGGCACTTACAATGCAGTGGTTGAGGCAGAATGGGCGACCCAGGTTTAGTTCCTCACTCAACCTAAATACTAGCTGAGCGTGGTAGCACATCCCTGTAGTTCCAGCTAACTAGGAGGCTGGGGCAGGAGAATCATGATACATGACAAGACTTTAGCAAAACTATTTTTCTCTTTCTCTTCCTTCTTCCTTCCTCCTTCCTGCTTTTTCCCTCTTTCATAAGAAAAAAAAATTAAATAAAGATAATATCCCTTTTAACAGCAAAATTAGTTATCATTAAAAAATGTGAAGAATGGGACCAGCAGTTGGTATAAATGGCTATGTTGCTGGACTCCCATGTAGTCGACTATAGTTTGAGTCCCAGGCCCAGTGCCTTAAACTCAAGCTGGGTGCATGTGTGTGCACCCAAAATCCCAAGAGGAGAATGGAGGAGAAGGGATTGTGGTATGGCCATCCCCCCTGGGGTGTGATTTCTTGCTTTCTGTCTGTCTTTCTGGTGAGTACATGCACCCTATAGCAAAAACCTCTCAAAAAAAAAAAAAAAAAGTGAAATAGTCTGGCCAGCAGATGATGTAGTGGTTACATCACTGGACTCCCACATGACCTACCATAGTCCGAGTCCTGAACCTGGCGGCTTGAAAATGAAAATCACACCAGGTGCTCCCAAGATCCCAAGAGGAGAATGGAGGAGAAGGGATTGCGGCGTGGCCATCCCCCCTGGGGGGTGATTTCTCGCTTTCTGTCTCTCTGTCTCTCTCTGTCTCTCTGGCAAGCGCACGCGCCCTATAGCGAAAAACTCTCAAAAAAAAAATCCCAAAAGGAAAATGAAGGAGTGGGAATTATGGCATGGTCATTCCCCTAGGAGGTGATTTTTCACTTCTCTTCTCTCTCTGGTGAGCACATGTGCCCTATGGCAACCAAAAAAAAAAAAAAAAAAAACTTTTAAAAAATGAAAAAGAAATTTGATGGAAAAAAAAGCTTACAGTTGATGAATTTTAAACTCTGAACCTGTGAAGAACAAAGAAAAGCTTTATTTGGGGTCTTAGGAGTTGCAACCTGGAAACACAAATTCAGATACAACCAAAAAAAAACATTCCAACAGATAGGCAAGAGTGAGAACAAAGTTTCTAAACTACTGCAGAATAATAAAATTCTTAATGGGCTTTCATTAAAGCTAGAAAGGGATGCAGGGCTACATGACTGATAGAAGGTAAAGGAGAAATGTATCTAGGCAATAAGGCTGTCTAGACAACAAAAAAGTCCAGTGATATCTAGGCAGTATCTCATGTATCTATGTATGTATGTATATATTTAGTTAGTTTAGTTTGCTATGGGGTGTGTGTGCTTGACGGAGAAAGGCAAAGGAGGATGGGGAGTGAGAAGTCATCCCTCCCCTGAGGGAGATGGCCATGTTATCCATTCTTCTCTCAAGATTTTGGGCACACACATACACCCACCCAGCATGTTTTTCAAGCTGTCAGGTTCAGGACTTGAACCATTCAATTGACTGAGTGCCTAAACCACCAGGCCACCAGCTGGACCTGGGCAATATCTTGAGCTATTTCAAGTGCCTTATTTCAGATTC